GCCTCTTCCTTCAACGAGTGCATAATTAACATCTAAAATTGACGGAGACATTTCCAAAGAAAATCAGCCATAAGTAAAAACCATATCAATAAACTGTGAAAATAATCGGCATAATACGTCGTTCCGCAGACGAAAGAACGTAACTGCATTTTAATGTTGCCACATTTCCCCTCGTATATTGCATAATCATCGGCAGAATATTGGACATTTCTAACTGAAATATCATCATCATGATTTTACATTTGATCTCATGAAAAAATCAGAAAAATTTTGGACAAAAATTGAACAGATATATACGTGTAAAAAAGTGGATGGTTTCAGTCAATTTTGCAACTTTGGAATGAAGTTACGTTCCTTCGTCCAGGAAACAACGAACTCTGGAAAAAACGCACATTAGATCTAGAGTCCAGACTCTTGAAAACATTAACAAGAAAAAATTCTCTTGATTCAATCAGATTTTTCCTTAGATTAAAAGGAAATCCGCTCAAATTAAGAGGCTTGGTTCTTGATTTAAGTAAAAATCCGATTGAATCTAGAGTATTTTTTCTTGTCGATGTTTTTAAGAGTCTGGACTCTACATACAATGTGTTTTTTTCCAGTGAATATTGCAATGTAATAAAACCCCTATGGTTCTGACCCCTTCAAACCACGCCACTTCCACACTACTGATCATCGAAATCAAAATTCAGATTATGTAGTTCGACATGGAAACACCGGACCGTGGAAATGTCGCTCGGGGCGGCAAGTGCCTTCATTTCGTCGTATAGGCAATATCGGCGATTGCGCGCTCGTCAAACTGCATCGAAGGATAATTCCGCGGCCGGAGATACACCATCCACTTTGAGCGGAATAGGACGAATGGCACTCACCTCGTTCTTCTTCCCCCTTTATCGGCGCCGCTGGAACTGGCACACCCATTTCCTATCACACAAGTCAGTTGCTTCCCCGCTCATACCTGAAATTTAAGGCACTTTGTTTGCGTTTCTTCCCCTCGCCTAGTTGAACTATATTTAAATCAATTTTTACTTATTGGGGAGCAAGAAAGGCGTCAGGAGGCACTCATATATATTTTAATAATATTTGTTTTCTTCTGTCGAAACTGATTGGCAAAACGTCGTTTCCCGATCGAAAGAACGTAACTTCATTTCAAGGTCGCAAAGTTGACTCCAAAAATTTACTTTTTACAAGAATCTATCTGCTCGATTATTTCTGAAATTTTGTTTGATTTTTGTATGAAATAAGAGAAAATCTTAGAAAAATATTCAGTTAGAAATGCCCAAGATTCTTTTGATAAAAGAGCAATTTTCGAGGGAAAATTTGGCGACACTGGAATGTAGTTACGTTTTGACGTGAGGAAAACGATGAAAGGTCAACTTGGAAACATAACACACCGTAGAGTATTCAATAAGTTCCTTGACCGAAAAGCCAATTTTTAATTTTTCCAATTTTTGGCACTATCCTTTTTTGTGCCCCAGAAAAAGAATGCATATCTACGAAATGGCTGAATCAGCATTCATACCAGAGAAGTTGATGGAAAGAAGAGACGAAGTGGAGGAGCACTGGAAAAAAAAACACATTGGATCTTGAGTCCAGACTCTTGAAAACATTTACAAGAAGAAGGACTCTTGATTCAATCAGATTTAAGCTTAAATCAATAGGAAATCCGCCCAAATTAAGAGGCTTGGTTCTTGATTTAAGCTCAAATCTGATTGAATCAAGAGTATTTTTTTTTGTCGATGTTTTTAAGAGTCTGGACTCTAGATCCAATGTGTTTTTTTTTTTCCAGTGAAGTCCTCCTGCGCTAAAACAAAACGTCGTATTTTGTATGGACTTTTGAACGTTGCGAACTTTCTTTGAATCTTTGAAGGAAATTACTTTTCTCTGAAATTAACAAACTTTCTCACACACAAGTTGCAGCTTCAGTATTATGCTTTACAAATTTAAGCTATTAAAACAAATTATAATAATTATAAAAACAAATATAATTAGAATTTTGCTTTTTAGATTGATTTGATTTATTTTAAATAGAAGTTGTGTTTCTTTTCTTTCTAACTACTTTTCTCGGTGCGCAAAATAAAGTAACTAATGGGATACAGAAGGTTTAGGACCGCATCTTGATCTAAAAATTTCACAAGTAATTTTTTCCACTCAAACATTTCTGTCAATTGTTCTAAAATCTCCCTCCCCCACCCATATCATGCACAGGAAAATATAATGGTGCTACAATTGCTAGATTCCTCGCAATGGATATCTTCAGGAAATCCGGTGGCTAGTGGTGGACGCCTGGCAGTTTTAAATTTCCTCTGAGTATACATGATCAGACCAATACTAACATCGAGATGTAACCAAAAATACACGTAAGTAGCTCGAATAATTGATCTGAAAAACACAAGAAAACGGGTAATCAAGGCTGAACAGCAACAAAAAATAAAACCTGGGACGATAGTCAAAATGGGGGTCTCGGTATTTTGATTTTTGTAATTTTTCATACATTTTTGTTTCTTGGCCGAGGAAGGGGTTGAAACCACCCCGAAACGTCCCAGACTCTAAGTTTTACTGTTTCATAGCCTTGGTTATTCGTTCTTCTTTTGTTTTTTAGCATTGAGGTACAATAGGTGCTTCATGTCACCAGCCCCACCCCCTCTTTTCGGAAATCAAACTTTTTTTATGGTCAGAATTTTGTTCTAACTAGATTCCTTGAATATTCTCTTAGTGAGAATCTACTGATCGCAATCAATTTTTCTCTTTTTTTTCCTTTTTACATTCAAGCAATTGTTACTCGATATTTATAATTTCTCTATGCAGCTAAGCAAGAGGATAGGAGTATTATTTGGCAACTGTGTATAGGTTTCTTAAGCGTCTCACAGGGAGAAAGAGAGTAAAGCGGGGAGACGAAGAAAAAAATCTTGAAAGTCAAATCGCGGCGGCAACGCAAAGCGGCACACCTTCTCTTTGTGTGTCAGACCTCAAGAGAATAATAAGAGAAGAAGAAAAAGAAAGGGGGTGTACTGTCGGCGGGGGAGTTCGGTAGCGGGGAGAAGGGGAGCCGATGTGGTGAGTCCAGGAGGCCAAACCAGCTGATGGCAGACCAGCCCATGCATTAAGGAACTTACACGGATTCTTCGGTCCGCCGTAAATCTCGTTTGACAAGCGTGATAATTTTGAATCGGACGGTCGTGTTTACTGGAATACCATAAAATTGCTACCTGAAATCCTCCAGCATCCAGGTCCCGAGTTTTCCCGAGAGATGGCGCCTCTTCAAGGAGTAACGCCGAATTCGAGGTGTTAAAAATCAAGAGAATATTTTAAAGCAAGCCAACTTGTTTACTATGGAGGAAAAAACACCAAGCAACGTTGCCCAAAACATGGTAAAAAGATTGAAAAAATCATCGAGCTACAAGCCAAAAATAAATGAAACAAATAATATTTCAAACTACATAGAGATGAGAAATACCAAAAAACTTACAGGAAACAAAACGAAACTAACTTTTCGACCGCCAACACTGCGGTTTCTCATCTCTATGTAGTTTGAAATACTTATTTTTGTTTATTTATTTTTGGCTTGTAGCTCGATTATTTTTTCAAACTTTTTACCATGTTCTATGAAAGGCAGCCAAATCGGCACGAAATTGTGTTGCTCAAAACTGTATGCAACAAGGTGGTAAAATAGCGCTGGGTCCACACTATTTTGCGGAGAAAACAAGCCAAAACTTTCAATTAGAGACAAAAATTTTAAGCTCTAATGAGTTATTGAAATTTTTGAACTTTTTGGCTTTGTTTTCCCCTCAAAAGAATGTGAATTCAAAACTGTTTTACCACCTTGTTTACCAGGGTTAACTGATGGTATACTACTTCTCATTTTCCTGATTTGCCTCATGAAAAAAAATTATAACATCATAAAAATTAAACTAAATATCATATAAATTAATTTGGGGGAGGGGGAACTCGTAACCCGAAAGTTCCTAAATCATAATCATAGGTCGTAAAAATGGTATTTATGACCTCCCACCGTGCTAAGTGGACTGAAATCTAATGAGAGCCTCTTTGTATTCCTTTTCCAGAACAAGAACAGGATCTACGATTTTAAAATGGAGAATTGTAGATCGACTGGGTGACAATAATCTTATCAGCAGAATAAATACAAATAAATACTTGAATACTCGAATACTCGAATACTCGGGGTAATAAAATTAAAGAGTTAAGTAACCATTAAGGAGAGAGGCATTAGTTCTGTGGTCGGAAAAAGTGCGATAAAAGCTATTTCATAATGGAATGAAGAGGTCTCGGCGGCCATTTTAAACCGAATTCACCAGCTCCGATGATTGAGGAGTTTTTTTTGGCGTGGCGTGTGTGTCATATCATCCTTCGGTCCTCAAAAAAGAACGGGGGGAGGGGGAGGCTTAACATTTATAGAGAACAGTAATGGAGTCAGAAATGGCTTTTATAAGCCGGCTACATTTTTATGAATTTTATCGACGATTAAGCCGAACATTGCTCTCACTTAGGACCCATACTTGACAGTGCCGGCATGCTTTGCGATATATCGATTGATCTGCCGTTTGAAGCTAATAGAATGGATCGATAAACAGGGTGCTTGCAGCGAACACCTAAATAATCGATTCTCTAACACAGCTTCAAAGGAGGGAATATCGATAATCGATCATTCACGCCTCGCCTCTGATACTTGACTCCTTACTCTCTCGGTATTGTCAATCAGAGAATTTTAGTTAGTAAGCTCCCTGCTTTTAGAAGAACATCGTATGAACATCCGGATATTGCCAAATCTCTCCCTACTAAATATTCCTTTATGGGGAAAATTATCGTTATTTTTCCTTGAAATTATTAGCTATTTTAGATGAAATCGTAAGGAAAATTTTCCAAAAAAATCTAAAAAAAACAAGCCAATCGTTCCCCAGAAAAGACGTATTTTATCTGAAGACATTAGGCAATGTTCCATGTTTATAGGGATTTGTCAAAAGGGTATGAGTAAAAAGAAAACGAGACTTTAAATAACTATCCATTAAACAATTTCCTTGTACAGAATCATATACCTGATAATAGTTTTGACAATTTTTACTCCATGCATTTAATCTAAAACCACCCTATCTTTCACTCTGCCACTGTGCCATGTACTGCATACTCCTCCCTAATCGAACTATTCAGGGATCATATCCCTCTTGCCTCTTTGTTCGGAATTCCTATCTTTGCAGAAATTTTGCATTTATTTTTATGATGAGCTTTTGGTGACAATGACTTTGTTATCCACTTAGAGTAATTCTCATTCTCCGTTAGATCTCCGCCTGTCCATGTTTTTATCCAACCAGCAATGTTCGATTTCTTTTTGGTACCAAATATGGTAGCGTGCGCAACTGCTGAACCTATAAAAAAAAGAAAATTTACACCAAATTAGAACTTAGAGACAGGACCAAATTCCTCTCAACAAAGGAAAAATATTATTAATATAGATCAACTATTTTGATAGTTCGATTCTCTTGCATGCTTTGGTGCATTATTTATCGAAGTAAATATTAGTAAAACTGTTTGCCTTGCTCTGCACATGCCGTAGTAAGAATACTCAATATTTTCTCCCCCCAAATACTGCACAGCATCTTTGCAAAATACCCTTGACAAGTGGATTCAGATGCAAAGACGTGATCTGTTACTTTCATGACTTTTTTGAAAGCTGCTTTTACGCTCCTAAAGTAAGGAGCATCACATTAAGTTTTCAGCATGTTTTATGTAATCTCAACCTGAAGAGGAAAGTGCGATGGAATATTGAATTTCAGAAAAAATTGACTCTATAGCTCTCTTACAGTTTTCATGATCCTAACGGCTAAAAGCTTGAAAACAGAGCGTTACGTTTTAATCGCTGTTTGATTTTATAATAAAAAATACTAAGTTATAAGGAACATGTGAAAAGGCTCAAAAAATCTGTAGGTCAACTCCATTTTTTTTTCTCAATAAAATGCATTAAATTTTTTCCAAAAAAAAATAGGGCCTTAGTATTACCGCAGTCCGAGATGGGGCAACAACTGAAAAGTCAGGTAGGATTAGTAGGTAGTAGTCTTTCAAGGAAAAAATAGGCCAAAAACTTTAACCATACTCCAGAGTTGCTTTGGCGTCGACCGTAAAGGGGTGATTCAACCATACTTATTGTACGCAAACTATTTTTGAAGTTAGCTCGATTCTCCTGCCCTGCTAAGGATAAGCGCCGCATGAATCTTCAGACGTTGCCGACTTTCCCTCTTAAAACAGGAATTTATTGGGAAAGCTGTATATATTTTTCATTGAATTTTTCGGCTAATTTTGCTTGTAATTCAATTTAGAGCACCTGAAAATTTTAAAGAAAAATAAAGGAAACTTTCCTCCAAAATATATCTTTTATCAGGAGGGATTTGGCGTCATTCGGATGTTCATACGGCGTTTTTCCTTAGCGTGGCAGTGCGCATTTGATCTTATCGATTGTTAATCAAAATGAGCCAGTCCTCAGTTGATTCAATCATTCCTCTTCTTCTGTGCAGTGGCGTGGCGTGAACGATCGATTATCGATATCTCGCCATTTGAAGTTATGGTAAAGAATCGATTACTAAGGTGTTCGCTGCGAACACCCTGATAATCGATCTTTTTTCATAGGTTTGAGTGGCATATCAATCGATATATCGCAAAGCACGCCACGCCACTGCTTCTGTGCTCTTACCCAAGAAAGGATGGCCCTAATGTTTACACGATCTGCCACTATTGCATATTATTGGGTTGTTTTTCTTGAGCCTCGTGAGTATTTTCAAAGAAAAAGCAAAAGCATCTATTACATACTAACTTTTCCCCCCTGATGGAGATCGGCCAATGAACTACAACACAACGGAGAAGAGAAAGATCTGAGGAGCGCAGGGGGGTTTGAAACCGATGAAAAGCTGAGTCCATCAACCTGATTTAGAGGTAATCCAACACGGAGTTAGGGATCGAAACCGAGGCAATTCTGGATCATCAATTCTTCGGGCATGCGACCAAAAATAAACAAACCATTAAGGTTTTTGAGAACCCCTGGCGGAGCGGAAAAAGTTCAGCGCTTCGCCGATAGATGGCACTACGGGTCCGCGCTGCCAGTCCCAAGTTCGAAAAAGATTCGTCCCGAGGACAATCGGGAGAGGGGAACACGTGGCTTTTTACAAGAGAGAGAATGGACAATTATTGTTGCTGTTTCAGCATTTCTAAATAATAATCATAATCATATATATAAATATAAAAGAAGACGTTACAGGAGGAAGATGCGAGATAAGTCTTATCAACGCGCGGGAGAGAGGGAGAGAGCGACGCGCGCGGCGGGAGGGGGAGAGAGAGGGCGAGCGAGCGAGAGAGACGGGCATTGATTTACGTGCGCTAGAATGAGTTGAGAGCAGAGAATCGAGCGCGCAGTGAAGTTGTTCATTTATAGCATCCCGCCTTGCTGGTCGGAGGCGAGCGCTGCCATTGGTCGGGGCGGAAGTGGCCGGGAGTTTGATTGGCTGTTAGGTCGTTCGCCGGCGCCGTAGGAGGGAGAAAGAGGAAAGGTTTCGAAATTCAAAGACACTAGGTAAGTGCCATTGAGTGAAGTCATAAACGTTTTCATATAACTAGGGTTTTGAGCCGGGCCTCCTCTCCGAGTTGTAAAATGTAACAAAGGACGCGGAAAAATAACCATTTTTTAGCCATTCCGCAAATGAGCGAGCGAGAAAAAATATATTAAACAATCGGACGCGTACGAACATACATTATCAACTTTCCGCCCAGTGATCCTCCTCCCGCGGCCGAATTATCGAGTGCTTAACAGCGTTTTGTGATCTCCTCCGACTCATTTCGTGGTTTCAGTAATGACCGGCTGATCGCCCAAACGACACCGTTCCCGCCCGAATTTTCATAAACAGGATTACCCCGTGCTCCAATAAATTATTGACACGTGCTCCTTTTCCCTGGATACTCAGTGTGTGCTCTTGTTGTTAGTGTCAAGTGAATGTGCAGCCATGTGTGCAGGTAAACAGAAACAATTTAATTCAGTTAAGTGATCAGGCCGAAGTATGTTACCCAAGTACCATCAGCAGTACCATCACCAGTTGTTCAGTCATCCCTCCGTCGTCATCAGCTCGGCTGCATCGGCCGACTCGACCTCAGCCGTCAATTACAGTAGTTCCCACGTGGCCAACAATTCCTCCAACTCGTCTAGTTCCCCGCCTTCGTCCCTAGTTAGTGCAGCTTCCAGGATGTACCCCTACGTCCACCACAATCAGGCCCAGGTGGCGGCAGCTTTCGCGGGGGGCGGCCCCGGGTCCATGGGGGCCTTTTCCTCGCAGACCTCGGCCAATTTGGCGGCGGCCCTCGATGCCGTCTCCGGGGACAAATCGTGTCGCTACACCGGGAGCATCCCCCAGCCGGACTCGATGGTCTACAACCCCCTGCAGAACGGCTCGTCGGCGGCCATCTCGGCCACCCCCTCGTCCATCGTGTCGCAGTTTTACCAGGCCTCGGCCATGGACCACCTCTCCACGTGCACCACCCCTGCCAGCTCGGGCACCACCGGACAGCAGATGGGTGACATTCCTAGGTACCCGTGGATGCATTTATCAGGTTAGCAGTGCTTTTTCATTCGTTTTCTGTGTGGGTTTTGTCTCGGAATCGGGGAGGGACCCGTCCAGACACGTGTGACTGATTTGGCTTAGTTCATTGTACGTGGCAAAAAGACGATACGTGTAACCGTATTCCTGGTTGATCTTGGCGCCAAGTATAAAATTTGACCATCACTCTGGTTTCATTAGCTTGAAAATTGATGGATTTCACCGAAAATGTGGTCGATTCAATCCTAAATCTTGATTGGTCCCAAAAACATATGAAAATGTGGCTAAACGGACGTATGTCTGTTTCTCTGATAACTTCCATCTCCTGTTTGAGAGGGAATTTTGAAAGCTGTAATAATCAATTCGAAGAGCTAAACCATTGTTTCAGCAAACGCTCAAACGAAGGAAAATACATTTTCCATGGTAATTCTAGCCGACGCGGGGCCTTATATCCAATTACGAAGCATTTAGCTACATTAAAGTCTTACATGTTTAATAGGAAGTCGTTTGTCGCGGTAAATGACTTCATTTTGTGTTCAAAACCAATCTGTAATTTTCTTATTTGTATTACATAACTTTCAGCATACGTAAACTGCTGTCCTTTTTTTCACTGAAACGCCGTAATTATCAACCATGTTCGATCATTTAACCCAAATTGGCTTTAAAAGGTATCAGTCTTTTTGCAAAGTGATTAGAATGACAGCTTAATAGCTTAATCGGTCACGTAGACATGTCTGCACGGGGGCTCAACCTATATGTGATTTTGTTTGTTTCATTCATTGGTGATTTTGAAGTCCAAAGTATTATAGATCTATCATAATTTGATAGTTTATGATACGGCGACTCAAATCAAAATCACAATTGCTTGACAAGGGTGTATGGATTCTCCCAAAATATATTTGAAACGGAGCCTTTACTTTTACAGGAGAAATAACGCAATGAATATACCTCATTTTCCGAGTTTAGCGTAAGGAACTACAGAATGTAGCAGGTTAAAATACGCAGCACGTATTCTGAATTCCAATTCAAACACTATCTTCGAAATGCACGATTGACTTCTTGAAAAAAACGGCAGGTTGTCTAAAGATCGACCCTTAAGCATTTCGTACGATTCAGCCAAGCTACTTCCATCCTGAAAAACAAAGAATATCGCTAATTGTCAGTCTTAATTGATTAAGTTAAGTGTGACAATGTACCGCATACAACAAAAGTGATAAGAATGTATCAGGTCCCTTCCTCTCAAAGAAAGTTATCTGCGTATGTTTTAAAGTTTGCTTACAGCTCTTTAAACAACAATAGTACCTACAACTGAGTGTAGAAGAACAGTAAACCAAGGAATTGCGCTGTTTTATAACAACAAAGTTAAAGTAAATAATCAGTTTGACCGAATGCGATTAAAACGAACGCGCAAATGAAATTTGACGCGATCAAACACCATTAATGTTTAATTTATGGAATAAATATATAAGGATAATTAACCAATTACGAATGAAAACAAATACTGAGGTATTAGCCCATTTTCTCTTCCATATTATGCGAACTCAGGTCGTGCTTTAATAAAAAACCAATGCGCTAGAGGATGTCTGCATTTAAAAAATTACCTTAATCTGGTGACAGTAAATTCGCAAAATTGTGGAGGAACTCAGCTAAACCCTTATTATTTATTTTCATTACAAGTAACCTAAATCCCAATAATTTTATAAACTACTAATATTAAGGATACTTAAATGAAGGATTAATAAATTATAAGGGTTCCATTGATGTATAAAAGAGGCAATTATGATCAATGTTAACTCTCACTGCCCATTCCTAAAAATAGTGTCTAGAAACATCTATACATTTCCGTCATCTTAATTCCTGAAAAGAATCAATTTAATTTCATTGATTTAAGGAGAAAGCTTAACAGCTTTTCTGCTCCACAATATATTAAGAGAGGTGGTCGAAGTAAACAAAAATAAATAAACAAAATAATAATTATAAAATAATGTTCAAAACCAACTTTCTTCTTAGGCTATCCTGAGCAAACCAAGAATTTTAATCAAGCCAATTCGTTTGATCAGTTGCATTAGAACTTTGGTGAAATTCACATTATTTTTCTTAGGTGTCAATGTGACAACGTATTCTTTCTTTCATTTCATTGAATCAAACTAAAATCGCGAAGCGCATAAAAATAACAAATTAAAAATTAAGCATCTCCATTCTAGAAATAAGCGGTCAATTTGTTTTTTTACGTAATGCCTCTGGCACATGCATGAGTATGTCGGGTAAACAAAACACATGATTATACTTGGGAGGAAAATTCGAGATTTTCTGTCTTGTAATGGGAGAAATTTTCTTGAAGCATGTTTTATCGAGTGTGACATTTCTTTTCGTGTGTGCAATTTTTTTTTTTAGATTACAAGCTCGTTGGAAAGTTTTTGGTGATTCAACTTCTTTCTTACTTGTCTATCTACCTCTTGTGAGTTTTGATCCCAAAGGAGCAATTTCAGGCACCCATCTCCTAGCGAACATGCACGCTCAAAAATACCTACTTTATTTCAAAATCCAAATCTCCTGTGATTTCTATCGACACCTATGATAGTAACCGATGAATCCTAGTTTCAGTTTATTTTGTCGGTAAAAATCGTTTAAAAGTTTCTTCGTGTTGTATTTTCCGATTTTAAAGTGAGAAAAAACAATACTAATGAAACCAAAGAAACCTTATTCAATAATAGAAGGCTACTGTCAACGTACAGTTTCCAGAATCCGTATATCACCATTCAATATTCTGATTAAACTACAGTGTCCAAACACGCAATCTATTTTTCAAGCAACCGGAGTTATTATGCTAAAAAATGAACATCATTCTTTTTAGAATACATCGATATCGTTCAGATTAACGCCCAATTAATGAAATAAATCGCGCGGCGTCAACGCTGAATTTCTGTGAGAGTTCAAGTCTCGCCAGTGTCCTTTTTAATGCGTTTTTTAAAGGAAATTATTAGACAAAAGAGTGGCCATTATAGCGGTTTTCTCGTCTGTCTTGTGCCTCTCTGTGTCTTCTCAAGAGACTGCTACTGAATCTGGATGTACAATAGAACCTCACATCGCAATAGAACAAAAGAAACACCTTTATCGCTCTCCCGGAGAACGGGTTGCATTGCGCCACACCGCGGTGCGAGACAAGAATGACAAAAAGACCGTCCTTTTTCCTAGAATTACTTTCTCTCATTTCTTTTGTGCCGTGTATCGCATAAAGCTGATCCCACCCTGAACGGAGCTCATGCAGCCTGAATTTCTTTTAGGTGTTCATCTCCTGGGGTCCAGAGTCAGAGATTTGGTCCTGTCACCTGCGTGTGACAAAAATGCGCTCACTTTTACCCCGTTGAAGAATTTTTGTCCTCTCACCTTTCCAACTCATCCTCCTCAACACTCTAAACTCATTTTTACATGAATCTCATAGTCGGAATTTTTATCGCATACGCCTTGGTATTCGCAAGTTAGGATTTTGACCTTAAACTAGTGGCAATTTAATATTAGATTTCCAAACCAATTTTAGCAGCCTTTTACTGAAGCGTCAAATGATAATAACAGCGGATGAATGCAGGTTTTAAATTCGAGATATCAAAAAACCTCGATTTTTGGAACGGACGTTAATTTTTCTGATTTAGAACAGTTTTCCGATAAAACGACCACCAATAATTGACTCCATGTGAATTAACTGATATTAAAAAATTTAACTGTGTTAAATTTGTGTGTAAACTGATGTAAAAAATCTGCGTTCTCATGTATTGTTTAAAAAAAGTTCGTCAGAATTCGTGTATTTATTCTTTAGGATTAGAGATTAGGGACGTATTTATTTCAATATTTAAATAGCTTTGGAACCCATGAAGAAAATTTGAGGTGAATCAGTCACTTGAACGGGCAAAAAGATTCCAAGTTTAAGTGTACAAAGGATCATTCTAAATTGCAGCAAAGCTGGTGGCGTTTAGCATTGCAAATTAAGACATTCAGGTTGCATAGATCTATTGACAATTTTTTGAATACTTCGAACTCAGTTTCATAAATTTTTTTTTTAGTTTCTCCGATGTTAATGTTCTTGTCATTTGGAAATTCATTTAAGTCGGAACAAGCGGCAACAAACCCTTATTTCACTGACGTTTAAAATTAACTTACAGTTTTCAGCTGCATTAAATCTATCCAATCCTCCAAATCTTTTTCACGGTAAAATGACCAATTTTGAAATCACCGAATCCGTAAAAATTAGACAAATTTACCTGTATTATTTTGAATTCCGAATTTCTCTGCTCGACCGCTTGAACAATTAGCGCATTGAAAAAATTACTCATTGAAAGGAGGGTGCCTCTGGAAATCTGAAATTTTCGGTTTCATCCCATTGTTGAGATGAGCTTCCTCTATTGTTGAAATTAACGGGCAAAAAAGAGAAGCGTATGCAATGCAATGACAATGCTTCACGTACAGTGTAAGCGCTGGTACAAATTCCGCGCACTAAAATGCTCGCCACACTACATTTTACGAGGTCCATATTTAATTTTATTACGGTCCGGAATATGTGGCTTAATCTCAGGCGAAGACATTAATCATCTCGTTCCGCACATTCGGGCATAATGATCGAATGAACAATTTTACTAATTTGCATTTTATGAGCGGAGTCATTAATCGGTATGCTTCGCAGAGACAGAGCCAATGCTAATTTTCAGTGATAGCTCAAAATGTGTCTCTTGATTTTAATCTACCGTCCCTCGAAAAAATTGAAAAGATTTTTATCGCTCTCTGTGAAGAGCGTGCAAATTGCTAGGCCTTAAAACTTGAGCTAAATTGGCTGAAAATAATTTTAATATTGTAGTAGGTAGATTTGAGCGGAGCTTTAGTCAGCTCATTTCGGGTGTGTATTATTTCTGAAAAAGTTTCACACACATTCGTCAACTGGTGCCCCTTAACGAGTGAGAGTAATTAGTTTCTTCATTCAGACTTTCTGTTATAATCAGTATATTTATTTTTCTCAATTTGCTCCCTGAACCTCTGGTTTTCAACCAAGGCGCTGAATCTTTGTTTATTAAATTTTTAAGGAGTCACTCTAGACTAAACTGAGGAATTGCTGATCCTTCAATTTTTCGAACTCTGCAATCAAGGATCAAACGAATAACATGTTTTCAGGAAAAATCCTTCTGAAAGCAAAAATTCTCCACCGTCAAAATCTGCCGTGCGAAGGAAAGAGGCCGTATAAAGATTCGGATGTCGTCAATTTTTCCCGCTAAACATTTATTTCTCAGGAAAGGTGTGAATATTTTTCTTTGAAAGAGGGTTATTCATAAAGGCGAAAAATGTACCCAGCCCGGACTGTGCGAAACTTTGTGGACTGATAGTACTAGTTGAGAGAGGCTTATCCCTAGCTCCGTTTTTGCAGGAACCCCAGGGAAACAGCGTTGCCATTTTTTAAAGTCGTAACCTTCAAGCATCCATAACTTTCGCAGAAATGCAGTTACAGAGCTCGTATTTATACCAAAAGATGCAAAAAATTACGTTCTATCGACCAATGCCAAAGAAATTTTAATTTGACTCCATTGTTGCCACGTTTTGGCCATTATTTTAATTTTCGTAATTATTTAAAATCACGGTACCGCCTAAAAAAGTGTTTGCGGTTGGTGGGGATTGAATAAAAACCTGTCGGAATATTTGTTCGTTCGATTCCGCATCCATCGATATATTATACTTTTCTGAGAGACTTAGGGAACACGAGTTATAGCGATTTGAAAATTCGGCAACACGCCCGATACCCCGATATTGACGTTCGTTTAGGTACGTTTCGCAACTCCGTGTTAAAGCAAAACGCCTAGACCAAACAAAATTCGAAAAGTCAGTTCATGTTTTGCGCTTTTTTGAAACTTTCACGTGATTTTTAGGAATTCAAGTAACGGCGGTGTTGCCGGTTTTCAATGAAAACCACCGCTGCGATCATAATTTAAAGTAGTACTCATTTAATCTTATCCAGCTACATTTGTTAACCTAAACTGACCATTTGCGACATGGTGTTGACAACATTGCCTAATTTCCGTCGGGATTCGCGCAGAGGCGGGGTTGCCAGTTTTCATGGAAACCGCCACCGCAATCACAAAAAAAATGTATTACTTATTTAATCACGTTCAGCCTTATTCTGTAGTTGGAATTGTTTATTTATCGAATCGATGGTTTCTTCTATCTCTCTGCAACGGCAGTGGTGACCGACAGTAACGAGATATCGAAATTTAAAGCTACCGAATCACTCAAGCGGTCCGATGAGTAGTTTTGGCGAGGGGCCTAGATCCATTGCTCTTAATCTCTATACAATATCGATATCTCGGTACTGCCAGGCACCACTGCCGTTGCAGAGAGATAGAAGAAACCATCGATTCGATAAATAAACAATTCCAACTACAGAATAAGGCTGAACGTGATTAAATAGGTAATACATTTTTTTTTTGTGATTGCGGTGGCGGTTTCCATGAAAACTGGCAACCCCGCCTCTGCGCGAATCCCGACGGAAATTAGGCAATGTTGTCAACACCATGTCGCAAATGGTCAGTTTAGGTCAAGGTAGATTTACACAGGTATGGAAAAGTTGAAAATTTCCCATGAGCCTCAGTACGTGTCACATGACTACGTGACGTAGGTTAAGGGGCCCGTTTTTTAATTAAATTACAATCAAATTAACATTCAAACGTTTGTGCGTTTAAACGTTAAAATTAATATCGCATTATCAAAATTGTGCAAAAAATCCCACAAAATTTTGACAAACGATAAACCGAACATAATAAATCAAAATAATCAAAACATTCAAAATGGCTGACGTTAAGGGGCCGCTGGAGAGCTAATCAGAGGCCAGTTGTTTAGTTCTGTCCATACCTGTGTAAATCTACCTTGAGTTTAGGTTAACAAATGTAGCTGGATAAGATTAAATGAGTACTACTTTAAATTATGATCGCAGCGGTGGTTTTCATTGAAAACCGGCAACACCGCCGTTACTTGAATTCCTAAAAATCACGTGAAAGTTTCAAAAAAGCGCAAAACATGAACTGACTTTTCGAATTTTGTTTGGTCTAGGCGTTTTGCTTTAACACGGAGTTGCGAAACGTACCTAAACGAACGTCAATATCGGGGTATCGGGCGTGTTGCCGAATTTTCAAATCGCTATAACTCGTGTTCCCTAAGTCTCTCAGAAAAGTATAATATATCGATGGATGCGGAATCGAACGAACAAATATTCCGACAGGTTTTTATTCAATCCCCACCAACCGCAAACACTTTTTTAGGCGGTACCGTGATTTTAAATAATTACGAAAATTAAAATAATGGCCAAAACGTGGCAACAATGGAGTCAAATTAAAATTTCTTTGGCATTGGTCGATAGAACGTAATTTTTTGCATCTTTTGGTATAAATACGAGCTCTGTAACTGCATTTCTGCGAAAGTTATGGATGCTTGAAGGTTACGACTTTAAAAAATGGCAACGCTGTTTCCCTGGGGTTCCTGCAAAAACGGAGCTAGGGATAAGCCTCTCTCAACTAGTACTATCAGTCCACAAAGTTTCGTACAGTCCGGGCTGGGTACATTTTTCGCCTTTATGAATAACCCTCTTTTCGGATATTTTAGATAAAACTGAGTGTAAAATTCTCTGAAAAATCGGAAGAAAAACATTCACAAGTTTCCTTAAAAATACTTGTATTATCAAGAAAAAATTGGCAATATTTTGAGGTTCATACGACATTTTTCCTTACCACGGCAGAAATATAGTTACGTTGTTTACTCTAAGTAACCTCTACGATTGCGTCTCCGATTGATTTGCCGACAATTTGACAGCCGCGTTTGATGTTGGGACGTCCCTGACGAGTGAGGTTTCGTGGCTCAATTGGACATCATTAAGCCCCAGAGAGAGGTCCATCCCAACAGACTTTTAAAAAAGAAAACCTACGACCCATTATAAAACTACATCAGATGCGCGGTTTTTCCTAGCTCCCTTAGTAGATACATCCTTTCTGCTCAGTGGCTTCCAATTAATCTTCGGCAACAAGTCCCGGGTCTTTGCCTTAGAATGTCGTTCCTCAGCCGACTTGCACGTGGCCCAACGCCATCTTGGATTGATGCGCCTGGGAGCGTCAAGTTTTGTCGCTTCTTTACCGTAAAGGCGTGTTTCGATTTTCCGTATGAACCTCAGATAGTATGGATTCATTTGTAAAACGGGTCTCACTCGGAGAATGATATACGCAGGAGCGACGATTTGGTGCGTGGCAATCCAAAATTTACAATTTTCCTCGAAAACGAATATCAGGAATCCCTCGGTGATGGCAACCTTTGAATTGGTTGGACCACAAACCTAATTGCTACGAATTTTTTGAACGTTCACTGGAAAAAAAACACATTGGATCTAGAGTCCAGACTCTCAAAAACATCGACAAGAGAAAATACTCTTGATTCAATCGGATTTTTGCTTTAATCAAGAACCAAACCTCTTAATTTGAGCGGATTGCCTTTTGATTTAAGCAACAATCCGATTGAATCAAGAGTATTTTTTCTTGTCGATGTTTTTAAGAGTCTGGACCCTAGATCCAATGTGTTTTTTTTTCCAGTGTTCTGCTCATGTTTTCGTAAACACGGTCGGATTCCAAAGTTTCAAGAAAATGGTTTACAGCGAATTTAAAGTCGTGAAATATATAGCCAGGGTAGAGATTAAAATATAAAGGAACTTATCATTTCGGCAACAAAAAAGTATAATTGTTAGTTAAGGTTATGCAGCCCAAAACCGAAGAGTTTTAGAGTGAGGTTTAAATAATTATCAAATAACTCCGGAAAACACATTCACGTGGATTTTAGGTTGTGGGTGGATGTATCTTAATTATTACCATCAATGTACGCTGAGGGTATCAAAATAAAATAATTTGAGTCCATTTTTTTCGTGATGAATTTCTAAATTTAATTAAATTTACAAATAAATAACTTTTACCTATAGTCTTGCAGGCTTAAACGAAAGTTTCGATCATACAGAAAAAAATGAAAAGTACTGTAGTCACGGCCACATTGAGTTGATATGACAGTTACGCGTGCTCAACTTAAAAAAAAAATCCTTGACATTGGCGCTAAAGCTCGATTCATGACAAAAGTTAAAAAACCGGCCGTAAAAATTGTAACCCCCCACGTTATGATTTTACAGAAGACCAATTAATAAAAAGTGCAATGAATCACGGTTGTAAAAAGACAGTTAACTAAATCCCCGCACGTATCCTCTGCTAGCTGCGGGGCGCTGTCGATAAGTCTTTTAATCAAGGTATAAAATTATTTTTATCCTCGTTTTATAAGTGTGTTCTTTTATTAAAAACACGGCGGATCTTGAGAATTCCGTCAGCCGGTCCAAATGAATGCTATTGTTTTTATTAATCTGGCTTTTATATGGCACGCAGCGGCGCGGCGTCTGTACAAGATGATCCGACGTTGTCAATTTGGTATCGTTTACAAGTTTACAATATACTATTCCGTA